CTCAGGTCTCTTGCTTTGCACAGCTCACGTTGCCGTCTTCTGATGAAAGGGCTTCAGAGATTTGCTTAACCGAGGGACCTCAGGCTTTCCTCTTCTGCTGAATGAAAACTCAAAGCCATATCATCTACCACAGGAGGTTTGAAAGCATCCCGTCCTGTCTAAAATGGCTTAAAAAGATCTTCATGCGCCGTGTGAAATCTCAGTCATATGCTGTGTAAGTAACCATGCCTAGACCTTCATCCTCTGCTTGAGTTATCCTGAGATCTACATACTCATAACAGACAGTGAGACTCAAATTTCCCCACTACCCCAGAGCATCTTAAACATGCTGCCATTGACCATGCATTTCACAGATCTCACCTTTTGACTGACATCTCTGCAGTCCTTCCAACAGTGTGAGAGGGAGGCTAGGAAGTGCACCTTCTAACTAATGTGGGGTGTTATACCTATCTGCTCTCTCTAGTGTTGCCTCAAGCCTTAACTCTCTCCACAAATGGGCATCAGACCTTCCCATTCTATACAAAATGTCAGAACCATGATCCATCTAACATAGAGGGCCACAGACATTTTTGCTATGACCAAATATCATACCTGCCCCTTCTGCCTCTATGACCTCACAAGTGCCCCTCAAACTGAAAGGCCCCATGCCAAAGTGGGTGTCACACATTCCACCATCTGCCCCTCGAGGACTCAAACATGCTCCATGTCACAAAGGAGGCCTGCAAGCCTCCCTGTCTATCCAAGTTGATGTGGGAACATCACCATCTACCAATCAAAATCTGGGTCATTAGCCCTGTATGCAAACGGTCCTGACCTGTGCCTTGTTCCCAGCGGAGACACAGACTTCTAAATTTGCATACCACTTATTCGATAATAATATATGAATATATGCATATTTCATTTTACATTTTCTAGCTGTATATTTATCTAATACATGAGCACACCTTAAACGTGCATTCTTGATTAATAGAGTAAAAGACACAGTTTTGAAGTGAAAATAGATGGTAAGACTGTCAAAGTAAAAGATCAAGGATTCATTTTTAATAATTAATATTTAGCAACAATAACTTTACTGATTAATATCCCATGAGAGACATAACATAAAATAAAAAACATTTAGTCTTTCTGGCACTATAGATGTGGTGTGAAATCATGTTCCAGGTCCTGTGGTCACTTTTCCTACATTACGTTTCTGCCTGAGGCCTCAGTGCTCATGGTTCAAACATAAATTTTGTGGGATTCCGAAAAACGAAGTAAGAGAATACAGTTGTGAATCAAGCCAAGTATCCTGTCCTGCTGAGTTTGCTGTGTAAGGGGTAGAGACCACAGGTAAACAGGAAGGATAGTCCACCCAGGGAGACCTGGGATCAATACCAAGAGCTCTAAGAATGACAAGGGTGTGGTGGAGTGCGACTCAGCAAAGAGCACGGTGGTAGCAGGTGTGTGGTGGGGCCAAAGAGGTGTCCTGGATAGAAACTCTAACCTTAACTTGAAATCCAGCCCTCAACCACTATTTTCCGTTTCTCCCTCTCATTAAAGTTGATCTCAGTGCTGCGTTCTCGAATTTTAAAGGAAGGTCTCTATGTGGTTGTCTTCATGGGAGACAAGGATACAGTCTTTACTTAGGAAAGGGATACTGGGAGGTATGAGGCTCAGTGGATGAGTCCATTTGCTGCTCCCACTCAAGACATCCCACTGAGGATGTCACAGTCTTAAAACAGATTGACTGGGTCATAGGGTGAGTTTTCCCAGGGGGTTAATTAAGATGAAGATGGCAGCTTGGGACTGTAAGTTCTAGGGATTGAAACTTCAAGGAAAGGCTTTATGAATGGAGAAAATGTGGTCCCCTGCCTTCCTTTGTTCTCCTCTTTCCCCTACACTAGAGCATCCACCATCAGCATCGTGAGGCTTTTCCAGAGGTCATACAGCGTAACTAAACCCCCTGATTATTTAGGCAACCCCAGGGTGCGTGCTGAAGAACGGTCAAGGTCACATGATGCCATCCCTCGCCCAGACCAGCACATCAACTCACAAAGCATCAAGGTGCTGCACACCAAATGTCATCCGCAGAGCTTAACCTATGTCTTTCTCCAGCCTTGGGACCATCTGTTGTCTTATCAATGCAGCTTTCACTGGTGCTGAGTTTGTTGACCCAGACTGTCCTTCAGCAGAACTTGGTATGGTATATTCTTCCCCAGATGCTTAGAGTGGTGTTTCATGAGCCCTATGTACCTGCAAGAGCTTGTACACTTGGTCTGCATGATTTTACAGCTACTACAGTGACTTGCAGACCCGTAGGAAGGACCTATTAGGTCTTCCTTCTTGAAATGTGGCCAGCCGTTTATAAATACTAGGTCCACGTACAGCATCCCATAGGATATTATACTTTTTCATGTTCTGGAGGAATTTGTTTTTATTTTCTGGAATTAAGTACAATGAGCAGAGGTGAGGCAGAAATTTCTGTGTACACGTACATCTTCATTCCTCTGGAATACGTTTCAGAAGGGCAATTATTGGTTTGGAAATAAACTGGAAGTTCAATTATCAAACAAACTGCACAATTGTTCTGAAGTGGAATAATACTTTAGATATTCAACAACAATGTACGCATGTAACCACTTTTAAATTCTTGCTACATTTTGGTATTATTATTTTATGTATCTGTTAACATTAATGCATTTCCAGTCATATTTTATTTTAGTTTTAATTTTCAATTCCCTCTGGGCTAATAATTTCAGATTCTATTTATGCATTCATTTATTTTGTGTCTTGTGTGTTCGGTGTGTGTGTGTTATGTGTGTGGTGTGTATGTGTGTGGTGTGCATATGTCTGTGAGAGAGAGATAGAAAGAGAGAGGAGAGAGAGAGAGAGAGAGAGGGAATTAGCATGTGTAATTGGGCATGTGGAGGTCAGAAGAAAACTTGTGAGAGTGTTCTTCTTCAAACACGTGGGTCCTGTGGATTAAACTCACACTGGCAGACTTAGTTGAAAATGCTTTTATCCTCTAAGGGATCTAGTCACCAGGATAATTTATTGATTTTTAATGAATAATGCATTTAATATAAAGTCTAAGGACAGTTTTTGTTCATTTCATCCTTTATATATGCAGGCTGTTTGTTTATTTATTTATTTATATTTATTTATTTTTGAGACAGCCTCACATGTATCCAAGGTTAGCATTGTGGTCATTAATCAGAAAGAATAATATTATATTCAAATATTGATCCTCCCATCTCTGATTCCTGAGTGCTAGAATACAGTTCTGAAGCACTGTCTGGTCTGTGCAGTGCTAGGTGCAGAACACAAGGTTTCCTGCCTGTGCGGCCAGCCCTGTAGTGACTGAGCTACATTGCCATCCCATCACATGGTCTTTGAATCAGTTATTCCAGTGTAGGTGTTCTGTGGAGAAATTCTCTTTGATTTTCTTCATTAGCAAATGTTGTTGTGGTGGTGGTGGTGGTGGTTGTTTCCGTGAAGGATATTTTCAAATCAGAGAATGTTCTATCTTTCAGCATCTGAAAGCTATGGTCTTGCTTCCATCTGATCTTAAAGATTTTTCCGTGAAAAATTACTGTTGCATAAATTTCTTTTTTCCTAAAGATGCTTTCTGGGTCTGCGGTCAAGTTTCCCTTCTTTGTGCTGAGCTCACACTATTTAAGTACGATGTGCCCTTACTTGGAATTCTTGGATTGTGAGGTGAAGTTCCTCCTTCAGTTCACATTCTGCATTGTCCACTCGGTTGGTTTACGGCTTCTGTCAAACATAGTAAGTTTCCAGCCACCACGTCATTGAGTACTTCTCAATTCTACCCTGTTCCACCTTTTCTCTAGAAATTGATCCTGGGTTTTATTTCTTTTGAGTTTTTCTTACATTTTTTCCCTCCCTTCTCTCCGTCCTCTCCTCTCTCCCTTCCCTCTCTTCCTCTCCTTCCCTCCCCCTCCCTCCCTCCTTCATTCCTTCCTTCCCTCCTTCTTTCCCTCCCTCCCTCCCTCCCTCCCTTCCTTCCTTCCCTGCCTCCCCCTCCCTCCCTAAAAAAACCTTTTTTTGGCTTTTTGAGACAGGGTCTCCCTGTAGCCCCCACTCTGGCCCAGAACTTGAGGCCATCCTCCTGCCTCCACCTCTTGAGTGGTGGGATTACAGGTATACACCACTATACCTGGCAAGATATGGATTCTCATGCCAAGATGCACTGGCTGAGGGCCCTGAGAAGAAACTAAATCAGAAGAGGATGGGGGAGCCACGGAAACTGAGCTGGGGCCTCAGCTAAAGTTCCAATGGCAAATAATTGTACCATTTTGTCAAGTCAGCCCTGGGCAGCAGTGTCCTGAAGAGCCCAGTGTGCACTAGGGCATTTCTGGGCAGTGACTCTCTAGAAGTAGTAGCTGGGAGCTGCTTTACCACTCCTTGGGCTTGAGGTTGCACCAGCCACAAAGGTCTTTGACCACATCTCCTACAACCTCCACTTGACCTGCTTTGCAGCTCCTACTCAATTTCAACTTGGCCTGGGACACAGTAACTCTTCCCTGTCAGGATGCTGGGGGTCCCCATGCTTCCCAGCAAGGAGGAAGTGGGAAGAGGCCTAGTATTCTAACATTGCCAGACTCCTTTGAAGAATTGCAATTGTATTACTTAATTAGCAGTTCTGGGGATGGAATCCAGGGCCATATATGCTAAGTAAGGGTTCTATCACTGAGCTACATCTCCACCCCCAGCCTCCAGACCTGCAATTTAACATTCTCCATGGCATTTGCCAGGTTACACTGCCCAGTGTGTCGCCTGGCAGTAAAAGGAGGCTAGGAAGTGGAACTCCTTTATCTGAGAACTAGCAGAAAAACAAAGCAAAAAAAAAAAAAAGCAAAGGAAATGCATGCCTGTGATAGGACTTGAGTTGACTCATGCCAGCAGCTGTAGGAGAGGAGACAAAACTCATCATGGTTCCAGGGAGTATCCAAGGATATGCAGGGCTCCACATTGCCAGGACAGATGACATGAAAACAAGGTTGGCTGCCATGCACATGGGTTTATTGAGCATGCCTCTCCTAGTGCTGGAGAAAGCACTGGGGAAAAGGCCATAGCCTGTGGGTCTGTCCCCTGAGAAGTGAATTCCGTTTCCTAGCTCTAGGAATTCAGGTAGTCTCTGACCTGCTCTAGAGATTTAGAGGCCCAATGAGGCCTCTACAAAGGGACCATCTCAAGGGGTGTGATGAATACAATGAAGACACCCACTGCTAGGGAAAGCAGAGGCTTTACAGTCAGACCCCAGCCTCCAATTCTCAATCTAGGGGACAGGCACACAGGTGTCTAGGCCTGCAAAAGGCGGCACATCTGAGGGCAAGCTAGTTTCAGTGAGCAGTAGGCCAGAGATGTGGACCCATATTCCGGGTGGTGTAGCAGTCAGCTGTGTTGTCCAAGATCTGCCTTCCTAAATAGAGCAGGGCCTGAAGAACCAAGGCAGTGAGTATGGACAGCAAGGAGTGCCCCTCCGGGGGCCCATCTGCAGAGGACACCTTAAGGGTAGGAGCAAAACGAGGGCTGCTTTTGCCTGCATCTCTTCCCAGGCCACTCATACATCTTGGCCTGCCTAGCAAGGGAACGTGTAAAAGAAAAAAGTGCAGAAACTGCCAATTCACTGTCCCCTCCTCACACCTACCTGTAGGAATCTCTGCTCAGCATCCTCATGGTCCAGCTGGTCCTGTAGAGTTGAGGGCCACATGCTGTCAAAGGCTTGTATGGCACCATCTATGAAGGAGATAGATCCAGGGAGGGCTTGGCTAGGAAACCCTAAAAAAAGGGCCCCTCTCTTTAGGATAAACTGAAATGCCTCCTGGAACCTGTAAGAAGTGGCTTGAGATGGGAGGTGCCCATAGA